GGTCCAGTTTTATCTCCAGAACTCCACTGTTTTACTAGAAGCGGTAAAATAATTGCAAATTCAACTTAACTTTGTTTTTCTAGCAATTTTACGTGAATGTAGTAATAAATGTAGTACGGTTTCTAATTTTAGATCCCTAGTCTTGTGTGATTTTTTCTGGAGTTCTTGAAATAGGTCCGTCGTCCCCGGTAAAAATAAGTGACATGACCAAGTAGCAGTGTGGTCGCGATAAGTTGCGATTTGATCGGAGGGTGTATCGCGATTTGATCGAAGTCGATCAATTGCAATATTATCGCATAAATTGCAAAAAAAAAAAAAATGACGATTTTATCACATAAATTTGCAATGAAATCGCGATTCTATCGACGGCGATTTATCGCAATAGTATCGAATATAAAATGTGTAAAAAATCGAGATAAAATTCCGATTTTATCGAACGCGATTGTATGAAGATAAAATTGCAACAAGATCGAAGATGATCGCGCAAGCGTTGATGATCCTAGCGATTAAATCGCCAAAAATCGTAAAAAAATCGCAACTTAATTTCAAAATGTTGAAAAATGCTGCTTGGGTACCTACCGATGATTCAAGTCGATGATCCAATTTATGCTGAACGATATTAATTATGGATGCTAGGACTTAGTGAGTTTTTGGACTACCGCTCTCAATCGTGCCGTGGTATCATGATTCATTTTGCGAGGAAAGCTCCGTACTCTTAAGGGATGCCTGTTATTCTTATTATGTTGGAGCGCCTTTAATTTCGTATGATGCTGTGCAACACCTCGGTTGCGAAATAGTTGCTTGAGGCGCCGTGGCGAGCGGCCGCGCTGTGGCGCCTTCAAACCTAACAGGGATACTTCACGTATTGCGCAATGCATGAAGTATCTCCTTAGGTTTGTAGGCGCCAGTGCACGCTTCCCGCTGGCAGCACAGTAGCTCTGCTCTGTGTTAGGCTCTAATATTTAAACTCGCGGAGTTAGCGTTTTTCAACTCATGGTTTTGAAATGTTTGCACACTCTGCTGTATTATTCTCATAAAAATCGATGTGAAAAAATATGTATTAAAGGATAATATAAATTAATATAATGTGTGTTTTGTATTTATTAAGGGTTGTTCCGCATCAAATTCAATGATTTCCAAAGCACTTTAATTTTTTCTTTTACACATTGTGCTTTCACTGTGCTGCAGAGAGGTGTAAGCGCAACCAAACTCTCAAAATTCGACGTATTTGACTCTAAAAGATCGATCAACAAATGAGTTAAAACCAAAGATTGCGGGCTTCTTGGTTTTTCCCCTCTTTCATTCATTTTTGTATAGTTCCTTTCAACACAACTAAGGTTCATTGAGAATAATATCGATGTCATCGCCTGGGAATGGTTTTACAAATATTTGCCACGTTTTAAAAGTGTAAATATTTTTAAAATGAGGTAATGTATTCATTTAAAAAAAAAGTACGTATGAAGTAGGTATATTTTATATTGAAAAGTCTAAGGATAGTATTTAAAAAAATGTTCACCAAAGACAGTTTGAAATGATGAATCAAAAGAAGAAAGTAACATTTCATATAAAAAATGAGTTACTGTAACAAAACGTCGTTCCCTCTCAATTTTCTCATTTCAATATTATCAATATATAAGTTTACACTCGGGCCATAATACAACGCTTAGACCAAGTCACTGTTGCTTAATTTACGTGTGGATGTAAGCTACTGGACAAAACAGGTGCACGGATGAAAAATCTTTGACGGAGTGTCCTGAAACCAATATTTCCCGCTCAAGTTACATCTGACAACCTCGCTTGTAGAAGGTGTCCTGACCTCACCCCTCTTAAGTTCAGATTTTCAGAGGGCGTTATGCGTTACGCAGTACTCTTATGAATTTAAATTATAAAGTATAAGAGGTAAATCAGAGAAAAGGAAGCAAAGGCAGAAAAATGAAATGGCATTCATCACTCGATATAGGTAGACCCTCTATTGAACGCGGACTCAGAGATGGATGGAAATTATTAATCGGGAGCACAGTCTTTAAATAACGTCTAATCACATTATTTTTAATTGCATTTTAATATACATTGAGCTCTGCAGCATTTAATTGGAGTCACGGATAAGATCACGTAGAACTTTAACGAGAAGTCAAGGGTCATAATCATAGTGGAACGAGATCACGCATCTCTGGAAGTTTAGTCCAAACTTATTTTTCTGATACCGTATGATAATCCTTCGTTGTACCGCAAAAAATGGAGACCGGAGGGTCGTATATCGTCGCTCCTCTGACGTAAGGGTGCATTTCAATTTCTGCGTGAGCTCCGGGATTATACGGGCAAGAGAGCAGCTCATTTGGGTGGGAACACTCCAATGTCGCTCAGTGGGTCGAGTCAATTAGAAAGGTGGGACATGAAATTTTTGACAAAAACTGCAAATTTTGATGTTTATATCGTCACATTTTAAATTTCAAGGGGTGCATCAAAATGAAAATTTAACGAAATAACCGATGGAACCACTTTTAGAGCCTCAAAGTTTTGTATATCAACGGAGTTATAAGCGTTTAAAGTTTCCAAATTTTGTCCGACCTCTCCTACTGACTCGATCCACCGTGTGTCGGAGGAACGACAAATTTATGCTAGTTTCTAGTATTATGGATACAGTGTTTATGTGTGCCTCGCTTTCAGGATTTCCTCAAATGAAACGTACGATACATACTTCTGCAGCGCAGAAACATACGATACATACTTCTGCAGCGCAGAAACCATATATCGACGGTGAAACTACCAAACCACGTATCTCGGTTTGCGACGTCGCAGACTTCCTGTCATACTTTATTTTTTAAATGAAAAACTACTCAACATCCAGTCTTGAAAATTTCTGTGATTTTTCCTCTTCGTGCGGAGAAAATTCTGTGAAAATTTCAAGGAATGATATTGATTTGGTCTACTTCAAAAAAATAAAATGCGAGAGTAGATTTTTAAACACCGCAAACGAGATACGTGTTTTGGTAGTTTCACCGTCGATATCCAGAATTTACTACATATCGGCGGTGAAACTCCTAGACCACGTATCTCGTTGCGGTGTTTAACAATCTGCGCTCCCATTTCATTTTTTTCAATGGGAACTAATTAATATAATTTCTTGAAATTTTAACAGTTGTTTCCGCATGAAGAAGAAAAAACACGGATTTTTTCAAGAATTGGACCGAGTTCATCAGGAAGGAACCAACCCACATTAAGTTGAAACTGAGAAAAAGAGGTTTGAAGTTTGATTCCTGCATACGGCTCAATGTTAAAAATAAACTTCAACCCCTCTGTTCGCAAAAAAATTTCGTTCTTAGGATTTCAGTTTTTTTTTTTTTTTTTTTTTTTTTTCCCAGGGAGGGAATTTNTTTTTTTTCCCCAGGAGAAAATATATGGCTAGTGAGACACAATAGCATACTTAACTCAATTTTTTCAAAAATGTGGGTTGGTTCCTCTCTGATAAAGTCGATCCAATTGACGTTGGGTAGTTTTCCATTTAAAAATAGAGTATGACAGGAAGTCTGCAACGTCGCAACCCGAGATACGTAGTCAGGTAGTTTCACCATCGATTTGCGCACTACTGCGAGGCATGCAGGCAGGGACGCAGGGGGCTGGCTGTACAATTTTTTTTCCCTCCCTTAACATAAAATTTTCATCTTTCATTCGACCCTAGAATATTTTTCTATGTGTCTCATAGGTTCATATTTAAGTCTGTAAGAGGGCCGCAGCCGCTCCTCTTTTATTACCTCTCATGAGTGCAAAAAAGCCTCAAATTGAGTTCGAGATGGGTTGAAATTTCAAATTTTATTGAAGGTGGGATTTTACCCGAGCGTGGAAAGACTGTACGAAAGTCATCAAAACTTTCAGGTCTCAAATTTTCCCAAACATGCGTTATATACAAATAATCCGCCTAGTATGTGTTCTGGCAAATTTTCAGAGTTGAGCTGAACTCTAAGAAACCTTACTCCACATAAAAAGAAGTGAGGAGCGTTCATAAATTACGTCAAGTTTAAATTTATTGTTCAGATTGACGTCTGATTCTTTTTTTAGGATGCATATTTAGGCCAAAATTTAAAGCTGGCCTACCGACTATCTCTCCTGGAGGAATCAATGTGCCGTTACAAACGAGCTTTAGATGGAGGTCTATGAATATATCCTAAAAAACAATCAATTAAATATCAAATTGAAAAATAAGACAAAAATCGAGTGCCAATACAGCTGAAGATAGGAGAGACGTAGTCGAGCCTCGTTCTTTAATTTTTCTGCCAACTCTGAGCGACACACTGCATAAAGCAAAGCACTGCGACTACTGCGAGTTCTTTTCTCGCGCCATCGCGCCTTCAATTTTGCAGACGCAACACGGACATCCATCACGTACGAATAGTCGCATCTCTGCGCCGTCATCATAGCGCGTTCACTCCCTTGCCTAGTTTTTGAAGACAAACTATTAAAATTAATAAATTTAATACGGGTAAATTTGAACCGACTGGGGACTCGCGTGTTAAAAATTCTTATGCATCTAAATGGTTAAAGGATTATCAAATAATATTTTCATGTTATCATTAATTCGTTGTATCGTCAATTTAGGTCATTTCCACTGAGACATTCAGTTGGCGATTTCGTAAAATTGTCAACGTCGAGTCGTCTTGTCAAAGAGCATAATCCGGGTTGACTGAAATTCAAACACCCCCTCATGCTCCCATTTGGCAACAATCGTCAAATGAAGAACGCATATGGTCGAATGTCTGAGTTACAATGAAAAGACATTCCTGAGAAAAGACCTTTTTTGTACTCATCGCATCATTTCTGCACTTTATACAAATAAATATAAGAGAACCAATATGTTTTTCATGGTCCGACCGCTTTACTATCTTGATTTAGAGAGGACGCTGCTCTTTCATATGGAGGTGCGTCAATTTGAATTTACCGCTCGCCCTATAATTTAGATGGATCTTCGTGACTCACCAGACTCACCGCCGAACGGTAAACATAACCTTAAAATAGATTGTTGACAAATTCCGCAGCTCACGTGGGATCCCAGAATTTTTGAATCCAGCCTTTCTTTTTTCTCTGTAGTGTAATTATTGTCTGTGATATTATGTCTCAAGATTAGGTCTGTTTCTCTTTTTTATCCGGAGGTCACTGTGATTTTCTTTTCTCATCATCATGGGCAAAAGATACAAAATCAAACGCAAGGTATGTTGTCTTACACACTTCGCTCAGTGGTCGATTTTGCTTAATAGGCAGAGCCAGTTACTTTTCCTGTTCTTTCCGAAAATAAAGTACACATAATTCCTGAACATACGTTCATTATTGTCTCTGAATGTATGTGACGCGTCTGAACTGTTAAGCAAAGCTCTTAAAACTACATTTGCTGACTGTCGCAGTTTTGAACCTACCATATCATATTGGTGCGTGCTGCGACAGCATGAAACTCAAATCACATTATTCTCCTGCTGTCGTATCATTGTACACCGAATTTTCATTATTGTAAATTCATCTTTTATTGGGAATTACATAGAAAAAGTCGAGTAGAGTCGGAATTGGGGGTGCTGCTGTAGATTACCATGCTGTGATGTTGTTATCATTTGTTTTTGATTTTAGGGCTTTGCTCAAAAGCAAAATCCTGAGTCCTATGCCAAATTTGAAGAGCCAGAAGAGTTGGTAAGGGCCCCTCATTCCTTTGTCATTCATCGTGGAGAAGTTGGACCTTATATTCAAGAACTTACAACCGATTTCCGAAAAGTGATGGAGCCATTCACTGCATCATCTCTCCATGTAAGTTAATATTTAGATTTGCTGAAATTGATGAATCACTTTATATGCTGACTAGAATAATTTTAGTCTAAAATCATTAATTTTAGCTTGGGAGAGACAGTGAGATTCTTGGTAAGATCATTGAAGATTCTCTCATTAATCTTTAAGACTTGAAAATAGATTACATTAGTCAAATCCTTGTCTTCGATGTTTTTACCATTGAAGCTTAATTCATGGATGAACATTTTATCTATGCCACAGAAATCTTCAAATTTATATTATGATGAAAGGACAGTTGGACCGCGTTAAACAGAAAGGAACCAAGCCACATCAGCTATTGTCAAATTTAATCGGGAAATTTAATTTATTACATGAAAACGGTTGTGCGGATTTTTGTGCAAATTTCTATGAATTTTCTCCATAATACAAAGTTAATTCCTTAAAATTTGCAAAGGAGTCCGCACAAACGTTCTCTCGTAAAAAATCAAATTCCCCTGTTAAATTTAACAATAGCTGATGTGGCTTGGTTCCTTTCTGTTTAACGCGGTCCAGTTATTTTGAACCTTAACTGTACAATTTAATTTTACTTTTCTAGGTGCGGAAGAGTAATCGGGTGAAAGATTTTGCATCTGTGGCAGCTCCTCTTCATGTCACGCATTTATGTATGTTCACAAATTCAAAAGAAAAAGGACCGAATCTCCGGATAGCCCACTTACCCCAAGGGCCAACTCTCACCTTTAAAATAAATAAATACACCTTTGCTAGGAACGTTCTGTCATCTCTCACCAAACCAAATATTTGTGAGAAAATGTATGCTCATTCCCCACTTATAGTCTTGAATAACTTTGTGGGAGAGGGACTTCATATCAAGTTGATGGCAACGATGTTTCAAAATATGTTCCCAGCTTTAAATATTTCCAAGGTTTGTTGAAAACTGGTTTCAATGTCTTTCTTTCGTCAAATATCTTCTTGTCCCAGTGTTTTTGTTTTATTCAATTAAATACTTTGACATTTCTTTCAAAATTATTTGCATTGAAATTAGGTATGATGAAAACCTACTAAATTTTACCCAGCTCTCGGAAATGATGAGTTTTCCAGGTTAAAATATCGATGACCGAAGTGCAAAACCATGTAACTCAGTTTTCAATGTGGTAGATCTCCTGTCATACTTTATTTTTCCTTTGAAAAACCAGTCATTGTAATTTCTTGAAAACTTCCTTGATATTCCCTCTCGGTTAAGTAGTAGGATATTTTGTAAAAAATACAACCTATACAATTGGCTTGTCTCTTTTCAAAAACATGAAGTATGAGTGGAAATTTTAAAATACTGGAATAAAGATTTGTGGTTTCACACTTTGGCCGTTGATATATCTCTTTTACCAATTCATCCTCATATCTAGCTATTTTTTTCTACCATCATTTATTAGCTCAGGAGTTGATTTAATTGCATTATTGCCCCACAAGAAAAGCTTCTTTGTAAATTTATTTCAATTTTTGCTTGGTTCTGATGACTTTTTATCAAGTTTGTGATGTGAATACCTTCTTGATCTTGTAGCTCTAAATTACATTCATCTTGTTTCAGGTAAATCTGAAAGAAATTCAAAGGTGTGTTTTAATAAATTATGACCCTAACACGGAAACAATTGAGTTTCGCCACTATGCTATTAAAGTGGTCCCGGTCGGATTAGCTAAAGGAGTAAAAAAATTGGTGCAGAATAAAATTCCTAATTTAGCAAAAATGGAGGATATTTCTGAATTAATAACCAAGTAAGTTTTCTGAATTTTTAATAGTAATAGGGTTACCGCTGTCAGAGAATTTCAACAAGCCAGAGAAAGCCTATATATGTCAGAGAAAATGACAAAAGTGTCTGGGAAAAATTGTAACGTCACCTTTATTTCTCCTTCCATCGTTAAGTCACCTCCCTATAATGAGTTTGACATTTTGATGGACACATATTGTGTGGAAATTATCTCAAATTTGGGTTCTTTTACCATCTAGTGTATTTTCAATTGTCAGAGAATTTTACCAAAATGTATCAAGGAAATACATTTTCTGAATGCTGTGGTAACCCTGTTGTACCTTCTTTTTTGCCCTTTCTCTGAACACTTTCCCAGCTTTTCAGAGTACTATAATTTTTATTTCTATTTACGATGAGTGTTATTTTTTAGTGTTAAATGCATTATTCCACTTCCCGCAGAAAAGTCTGCATAAGAAATGCTTAATGAGTTATCATGCAAAAAAAATTGTAATCTCAACTGGTACTGAATGAAAACTCTATTGTTATCGTTAAAAAATGTATTTTATTATTCGCTTACTTCTAGTCTCTGGCTAAAAAGCACAATCTTTTAATACAACTGGAAGAGATAAAAGAATGCATTTGTAATTAGTTTTAGTCTTGTGAATTTTCCCTCAATTAAGTTCTTACCTTTTACCACTATTTTGACAGGCCCAGTCAACTATCTGAAAGTGAATTTGAAGATGATCCAAACAGTCATGTTTCCTTACCTGAACATTCATCTTTCCGTGGTGGCAATGTTGGCAATAAAACCTCATCTATTCGATTGTCAGAGCTTGGACCAAGAATAACCTTCCAGGTTTGATATGCATTGAGTGCTTTTTTAATGTAAAATATTTCCTAAAATATTTTCCCTGGAGACAAATATAAAGAAAAAAAA